TTTTGGTGTTTGCATATAAATTGCACCACACACATAATAGATATTTTTACATATTAAATATGATAGGAGAAATATTTTTTCCACCAATTGAAATATACGATTTCTAAGCTATTTAAATGATAATTCAAAAATTAACGAAATGTAGGTACATATCAGATTTTGCCATTACTCCACAGATATATAATAGTGTATAAGAATTAATAAGATAACATGAATTTATATGTTTTTATTGAAGTATAAAAAAATGGCTCCTATAATGTACTGTCCTTATAAAACTTCAGGTAAGAAAATGGGGGCGTTCGCCTATGGTTTATGCTACGTAAATCCCATCGTTTGGGCTCAATTCTTTCCAAAGCTATTCGCATTTTACCTCTGGTGGTGGTGATGGTGTCACAAACTTTGGTTTTTTACATGTCCAGTGACAGTCTGCTTTTTACTTTATTTCTACATATTTCTAACTCTGCGGCCGATGACTTACTAAAATGCCGTTTTCATCATATTGACACAATATATTTTAGGCTTTTGGTAAAATTCGTGTGTAGGTACTATAACCGTGTTTATATAGGCACTTACTGCAGACGGTTTCTGACGCATGAAGAAATACGACGTATAACACATATTGGCTATTGAATAAGTACAATATAATGTTCGAGTATCGTATACCTAATATACATATAGAAGATAAAGAAAAGAAACACGTCAAAATCTCGACGCTTATTATTAAGCATATAATATTATAATACGTGTGTGACAAAAAGTCGGCGGATTTCATACGATTTTGCGGAGGTGGCGTCGTAGTCGGGTCCTAGGCAAAATACGAGGACAACAACAATATTGGCCGTTCCCACGTGACGCGTTTAACAAACACACAATAATAATATTATATAATTTATTATTATTGCGACAATCGCGGTCGACACATACAAGGAAATAATATTATAACACGATAATAATAATATTAGGTGTATTATATAATAGTAGGCACACGTATATTTATTATAATATAATATATATTCATGTATTATATTATGTCATGCGAATAATATAATATATATATATCAAATATTATATGGTCCCGAGAGCCGCACGCCACGACAATGACACGTACGAAAATAATAATAATATAGTAAAATTTTTTTGGGTTTGCCATGGGAATCAATCTGCGCGTGTGGCCCTCCAATGACTTTGACCGATGAACCGCTCGTGTGTGTGTTTTTGGCCATCTCGGGTTTACAAGTGTGCGGCGACGGCACGACCCGAAGAAGACCATTTGTCAAACCGTCTCTCCCACGTCAAAATATCGTATAAAACGAGCACGCACGGACACATCCCCCGGTAAACAATGATGACCGATATTATAATGTATATTGTACTATATATTATAATAGTATATAGAGTAATACGACTGTATGGGTTTTGCGGTCAATACCGGACGAAGACGCAACGACCACGATAATATAATAATAATAGAATAATATATATACGACCTCGCGCTGTCTTCACAACGAAAAAGGATCTCCGTCTGTTGTTGTAGACCGTGTGACCCGATATATAGTACACTCTTATATCGTAATATATTTGGGACTTCACAGATTAATGGTCAAATCGATCACACACTTTGTGGGTAGAAAACCGAGGGCTCGGGTTCTGAACCCTTCTGTAGCTAAACACCCCCGATAGAATTCCCTATGGTATGTCGGATAAAAACATTTTATTAAGCTAATATACAGAACCTGCAGCGAGTGTACAGATGAAAAAATTGTAGACAACTGTGAAGTCTCTGTAGTCACGATTTCTGTCGGAAAAACGTCGACAATGAGCAAAAAAATTGGTAGAACCCAGGGCCGCATTTAGGGGGGACGCTGGGTACAACTGCCCCGGGCGCCAGTATTTTAGGGGCGCTAAAATTTTGTAATCAGACATTTGTTTACTCGTAAATTATTAAAATTGTACAATTTTAATTATTTTAATAACAGTATTATACATAATATAATTTAGTATAATAGTATTATATATATTTACATATATACGTAGTATTATGCTGTTTGAAATTTTTTTAATTAATATTAATTTGCATATAGTTTTATATAATTTTATTTTATTTATTCATGAAGTAACCTACATGAATATGTTAAAAAACAACTTATATGATGAAAGCAATAGGTTTAAGTGACATAAATTCAATTGTATCTTTGCGAGAGAGGATCAAGCAATTACTAAACAATATTTTAAAAAAAAGCACACATTGTAAAACAATTATTCTTAACTGTGCTCAAAATCAAATAGGCTATTAAGGATCTATCTCCCATATTTTCCTTCGGTAGGCCCTTTGGGAGGGAGCAATTTTTTTCACTGGGGCTTGGGGGTGCCAATTTTTTTTTTGCACCAAGGCAAAAAATGTCTAAATGCGGCACTGGTAGAACCTACACAATGTATATGACTGGTGGTATTTTCGGTATACCAATAATTATGTTTATGTAGGTACCTACCTATATGTGATATTTTCGGTAATAATTACCGCGTTATTACCGAAGTTTCCATACACATGGTCGTCGTCAATATAAAGGGTACCGGTCCGTATATTGTATTGGGAAAAGTCTATTTTTGGTGTTGTGCTTAATCTTCACGTACGGACAAAAATGATCCTACGTCTTAACTAAAAGGATTTGTACGACTTCAAAAGTTTAAAAATATCTGATTTAGAACTTGGTTGAGGAAATAATTTAGACCAAAAAATGCACAGTCCATTCGGGTGAGTTTCATATTTTATAGTTTATACAGTTTGGGCGAGAGAAATTATAATATTTACCTGCCTAAAGTAATAACCTGGTGACTTTGATGTGAACGTTTTTAAAAATACGGTTTATTATTAATTATTTCTATTATGCATAATATCGTATATGATTTTGTTTATTGCAAAATTATTACTAATGTTGACTGTATATTACAATACTAGTATATCACTATACCAATATATTTTTGGCTCTTATCAAATTTTGAGTGGATTCGCCCGAACGGTCCAGAACAGTTTGTGAAACTAGAACATATATTATTCTTTGCTCTTTTTTATATTATAAAAATTCCCGTTCCCCCACTGTATTAAATAACATTTTGTGATCGATTTTTAGACAATATGAATACGAGCATGATTTTTAAAACGAATATCAAATTTTCCTGGATTTAAAACTATAACATGTTTTGTCGAAAGCACCTAGATTACCTGCAATAACCGAGTAAATACCGTATAACCGCGGTATACCATCCCTAACATAGAGACACGCACACATATATATATATATAATAGGTAGTATATTAGCGTTCCGATCTATAACAATACAATATATTATAGGTACCTTTAATTTATATTGATATTAAAATATGTGGACGGAAGACATTACTATATTATATTCGACCACGGTACCGCATATATGGTATACTGGTATATGATATTATGTGAAGCAGCAGGGTCAGAGTCGTGACGGGTCCGTTCGTTGATTGATGTCGGAGATGACTATCTCAGTGCGCGTGCGTTAACGATATTATAATACATGTAGGTAAGGCACATATTATATATATTGAATCGTAACGTCGTGTCTATATAATGATAGTGTGTGATAACACTGTTGGTATTTTACCCGCAGTGCTTTGATATTTATTTGTTGTACAATACGCACACGCTTGTTGTAGGTATATATATTTTTGGGCTCCCACATTATTCGGTATGTTACGTCCTTGCTACCTACCAGAACTTTCAGCGGTCGGTAATAGCAGGCCGCCTTGAGGCCGAATCGTGGCACACGAAGGGGTAGTAAATGAATCGCTAAGAATAAATTTTTTTTCTTCTGCATTAGATTCCGAGTGGAACGATGAATGTATTGATTTTACAATGATGTGTTTTTTTTATTTTATTTTTTGTGTCTTTGTACACGATAAGTAGTCGAAATAATAGTGCTTCGATTTTCAACTTCAGTACTATCTTGTTCGACGGGAAAGTGAATATTGTTGGTGCGTTGGTGAGGTCAAGATTTAAAATTCCCAGTAATTTTCAAAAGCGCCAAGAAAAACAAATGGAAAATTAAGGAAAAAAGGGAATTTTTACGAAAAATCGATTTTTCGAAAAATCGACTTTGGTTTTTTGTTGTAACTTTAAAACAAATGACCGTAGACACATGCAATTTTCACTGGTTGTTTATATTTGCATTTTCTATACAAGATAAAATTTTAAAATATTTTCATTTATTTTGAACTGTTAAGAGACATTTTAAGTTTCCAATTTTATTAGTTTTTTTTCTATGAATGTCAATAAAACTTTATTTGTTGAGTAAAAATACATGAAAATTTAATACAAGGCTCCTACAATATTGTCACAATAGCAGTTGAAAAATATTAAAAATCCTTAGTCATAATTTTTTTTATAAGCGTTTAAAGTTCAAATCTTGACAAAATACTGAAAAAGCACGAAAATTAGCAAATTATTTTGAGTAGAGAATTCATTAAAATTTTTCTTTTTAAATCCAAGAGATGTATTACAGGATTACTCATAAGTTTATCTACCTTTATAAAGAAAAAAAATGTCTACAAGAAAGTCAAATTAAATTTTTATGAGCATTTGAAATTCATATTTTTACAACATTTGATATTCACTCGATTTCTCATGTAACGATTTTCTTATTTTGTTGTAATAAAAAAACGAATGACTGTATATACCTGCTTGAAAATTACACTGAATGTTTATATTTGCATTTTCTATACACCATACAATTTTGAACATATTTTGACTCTTTTTGAGCTCTTTACGGACATTTACAGTTTTCAATTATTTTAGTTTTCTTTTCTTGACAAAATTTATTAAATTTAAAATTGAATAATTATTTTGTAGTTAAAAATTTATAAAACTTTCAATTTTTATATCTAAGGATTGAAAAATTAAAACAAGATTTCACGGAAGTAGTTAATTCTGTTAACAAAAAATCTAAAAAATACATAAGCACAGTTAATTTTTATAGTAATTTTAAGTTGACTAACAGGGTAGACTCTGACGGTGTATATAGGTAATGTCTTCGAAGTTTGAGGGCGTCAACGGCGGTGGGTGCCTGGTTGAAGATCGAAATGTAGAATCTGAACCTGGGACCCACCACCCACGTGGTTTGCCAATAGGCGATTGAAACCGTTTGCCGTCTGAAATTTTCTGCTTCACCAGCACACGGCAAACCCAGTCCGTTATCCGTTGATACACCCAAAGACGACGCCGTCTGTTCTTCCGTTTCCGGCATCGAACCGTGCTGTGTTAATGCCTGGGCGACGAACTCGGCGCATCCCTCGGAAGTGATTTCCATAGCGTTTTCCGTCGATTCGACGATTTCCCCTTCAGACAACTTGCCGGTACCATCACAGTTCGACACTTTAATAAAGATTTGTATTAATACAATGTAAATATATGAACGAAAAAGTGTGTTATGACTTTTGACAAATATAATTATACGATGAATATACGAGTACAGTTTTCGTTCGGACCGTGAATAATAAAAGGCGACAAAGAAATATATATATTTCAAACAGTATAATAGTTGTCTTTATAGTTGCAGTATTTTGAAAACTTTCGTCTGGGGAATAATATTATAGTTTATTAATTATCATTAAAGTATATTATGTTAAATTCAAATTTAAAAATAAAAATTATGCCGAGAAATTAAGCAAGTATTAAGAATAAGCTGGAGTGTGCTAAATTCCCGGTTTCTAAACGAGTATTTTAATACAACTCATTAAGCTATAATTCCATATCATATTGTGAGTGCAATTTAAATTATGTTTAAATAAATGTTTTGTGTTTTGGTACCCATTTGTTTAATAATATTGGCTATAAAATGAAAATCTATAAGTAGTTATATAGGTGTATATACAAACAATCGTAACTGCGGTCAAATAATATAATATACTTCGTAATACCGCAACAATCTGTAACCATTTACTGGTAACTAACGGACGGCCACACGGCCCCTCGTTTTTTATTATGACATTAAGGGAGAATAAAATAAAAAAAGAAAGCTATGCACAATAATGTTTATTATTGGATGTGTGCGAGGGAGTGGCGCGGCTAGTATAGGAGACTTATGTATAGGATCCATCGGTTTCGGGGGTCCTGCGATCGCAAACATAATAATATTATTATTCCGTTGGCAGCCGGCTTTTGCCCAACCCGTCGTCGTGCGATATACATAATATGTGCATATTATACACACACACCCTGTCCGCCGATTAGCACGCGGGCAAAAGGCCGGTGCAGGTGAGGGAAATCGGTATTATTATTTCGTCGTCGTCGTCGTCGTCGTTGTTGTGATACCCGCTGACACGAAAGCTGAGGCACCCCCATTGACTGCAGACGGACCCCCCCTGACGATGATCGACTAGGGCGAATCCATCAAAAAAACAGAAATGAAAAAACCATATCCGCGCAATGCTAGCTCGTATACGATATAATATTCCAAAAATAAAAGAAAGAAAATAATATATCTCGTTCGGATCGACAACGAAATATAACAAACGAGCGGGACACGCTGCAGCCCTTTTTTGTTGTACGTGCCTACAATGCACGTCCATATTATTGTGTTGTATTTATTTTATTTGTAATCCGTTCGCGGTATATACCCATATCGTGGTATACTATATACCTACGCTCGGCGTAACGGCGACGACAACAATCCATCAACTTGGTATATACAATATCATTAGAGCGCATGCGAGTTATGACACCCTCTCTTTATTTTACGATCGTGTTTACAAACACTCTGTATAATAATATATTTGGATAAGCTCGACCCCGGTGTACAATAATATATAATATAATATTATTGGCGTGCGTTGTAGTCCATCAATAACTATTGCATAATATTATAAAATTAAGCGTATGGTATAATAGCGTGTGCCCTCTAACTTCTATATATACGTATTATCTAAGAGCTGCAACTAAACGTGGTTGCTCTCCCCTCTCGTGTGTGTCTTTAAGAATATTATATTTTTTTCTATTCGTTATTCATCTAATTTACCTATCATACTACTATTATTATTAATGACAAGCATTTAGCATATACTTAAGATTGTAAATATTAAATATTATTTTAAATGAAAAAAAAAACAAAATATATGTATATATTATATCATACCTACTATAGTCGATATATAGGTAGTGCTCTAATCTCCGAATACATTATAGTTATATATATGGCAAAAAAGGTTAAGTCCCCTGAACGTAAGCAAGTAGGATTACACATACCGTTTTACTAGAAATATAGGGCATTATACTCTCTTATTTTTTAATGTTTTAATAGGTACCCAAATATCGCTTTATTATTTTCGCTAGATGGTTAGATACCTACGTGCAAAATATGTACAGTAGTAAAAGTTATTTTTCTGATGACATTATTTAATCGATGTGAGTTGTTACAGTATCATGGTAGATCTAATGATAATATAATTACCTAGTACATGCGAGTACCTATGATAGGCTTATCTGGGCGTATCATAAACTTACTCCGGTGGGTATATAGTATATACAGCTAAACCAAATTGCCACTGTATCAGCTATATAGGCATTGATAGTCAACTTTTAAGCTTCCAAGAAGGCTATATTATAAATATAGTTATGTTAAATATAGTTGTTTCGTTATAGAAATTATTTGGTTTTTTTTCGTCTTATTAAGACCCAGAGGTCAAAAGGGCCACCTATGATTTTAATGTAGGTCACTATATAGTATCTCGGCATTTATTATTAAACTCATACCTACTACTATATATATTTTAATATTTTATACAATATAATATTATCATGATATACGGAAACGGCCACTGGCAACGATAGGGTTATTAACGCTCTAGAGTGTTTGTGTTTGTGTGTATGTGTGTGAGAGAACCCGCGTGCGTGTGTGTGTATATGTTTTTTTTTTTTGTTCTTATTGGTCCGCCAAAGGTGTGGTGCTCGGATCGCTGTAAACATCGCAGGGAAAACAAAAACCGGTTCGCCAATCAACCTGTCCGGCACTTCTGTCGGCTCGGGACTTAACCAATTAAACACATATCGCCCTACAGCGGGAGGAAACTACACGTACAAAATATAATATGTTTGTACATGTATATATAATGTGCACACTAGCTTTTATATAGCTGCTGTATCATCGTTGTCATACGGTCAAGATGAGGCGTCACGATATCATCATATTATAATATGGTATATACTATTGTCGGTATCATCGTACAATGGCGATGTAATAATTACAAACTGGATGACCACGTGTTCACACGAAATAATAATAATGATGTTGATGATAATGATAATAGGGTGTCACACTCACTCAGTTGTTCCGCCGCTAATTTAAGATATTATACAATATCTTAGTGTTTTTTTTCCTTCTCCGCAGTCAATATAATATTATAATAATTGTATACCCTTATACTAGGTTTATGGTTTATCAAACAATCGCCCAGAAGTCACACCTACATCAATATTTCATGAAGTTTTCACATGTTTTCAATATCGTCAGTCTTTAAGCGGCGTAATCGTTTTATATCTGTCGAACTGTCGAAATTCACCTAGAGTGGTCCAACTTCGGTGGAGGGAGTGGGGGTTTACCCTCACTCTTCGGTTTACTTTTTAGTACCGTTAAAATATAAATATTATCTACTTATACGTTTTTTAAATACTAAACAGAGATTAGCTATTCGTTGCACAGGCATTTATTTCGATAATCGTGGAAAATGGCCAAAAACAAAACACGATATTATGCCAAGCGCATGACAATAATTTTTCAATTCGAATAAGATGATATTAAATTTAAAGACGACCTGCTAAGTTTAAAATTTAAAATATTATTCTCTGTATTATACAGTTTGAATTAACAGATATGTATGTTATTTCCAGATTATATCCAAATCGGTGGCTTTAATCGTCATCATCGTTCTCGTCGAATAATATAGGTACATGGATCTACTCAAACGGTTTATTGCAAAACTCATACCTCAATCGATGTAAAATGTATGGAACCATGTACCTACATTATGTACCTACATAAATGTACGGGACACTTAACTCGGTGTTCTATTTTATTATAATATACGAGTGGGTACCTAATTATTTATTGGAGTGGTGTATACAAAATAATTACAGAGATACCCAGTCTTGTTAAAAATACTTTTAAAATACTATTAAGATACTAATACTAGTATTCGAATAAAAAAAGTATTAAAAATACTTTTAAAATACTATTATAAAAATGAATTTCACGAATACTCACAAAGTATTTGAATACAAATACAAGTATTTTTTTTTTAAATTTTATGCTGCCTATACATAATTTATATAATATAGTACATCAGTATAGGTATCTATTATGTTACTATATAGGTACCTACTTACCATAGATTTTAATAAGTACTATTAACATGTCTGTCGTCTGACTCTTTACAGATAAATGCATGTTCACATATTTCATTCTGCCTTAAGATATATTTCAACTAATATTGATTAAATTTTAACGAAAAAAATATAATAAAAAGTGGTATTAACTATTAATATATGGAACTATTTCTAAATTATAAGATTTTCAGTTTTCTTAAAAAATTCCAATACAGAAACCATATAAAATTTGATGTGTTATTTTTTTAATTTTAAACATTGTTATTACCTACTTATACTATACAAAAACCTAATATTAGTTTTCAACGAAAACAATATCATTTTTATTGATGTCAATTTTTTGTGAAAAACTGTAAATTAAAATTAATAAAATGGACTTTATGGTATTTTAATATACAAGTTTAAATTTTGTTAAAAATGTTTTTTATTAGTATTCAAAATACTTAAAAAAATTGTATTTAGAATACCATATAAATACTTGTATTCGAATGCTTTACAAGACTGTAGATATACCATAGTTATACGATATAATAATATTATGTACCTACAAGAAACAGAGCGTTTTCAGACGACTGGGTCGTATATTATATTATATATTATTATCATCAAAGACAATACGATACAACATAGATACATATGGGTGCACGCGTTGCACTGTGGGAGAAAATGGAAACAATTGATGTATCAAAAACTGGCGAAAGATTGATTAACGTCGCACGTTACAAGAGAAGATAGTATATTATCATATCGTATTATAATAATCGTTATGTGTATATAATATAATGTATACAATAGGCGCGATGAGGATATATGTATATGTGTGGAGTACACGCCGTTCTGATTGCTCAATAAACGGCATATGTCCGATTCGTTTAAAAAAAAATAATAAAACTCGACAAATTGCTTTCACCTCGGTATTTAGATATACAT